CATTTTCCCATATCCAGCTTGGCACGGCCCTTGTCACGTTACCCTTTTTGGTTTCCTGTCACTGAATCCTGATCGCCTTCTCTGTAGGGCCTGGTGACTAGCCAGGGTGGCCTTATAATCCAAAATCGATTCTTCGTTCATTCTCAGAGAGAGACAGTGAGAGTGGTTTTATATAAGGACCATCTAGGGATGTAACTCTTCTAAATAACAGAAAATATGGGCAATATTTTAAAGTAGTCACGAAACATACAGCTGTACTGTAACAATAGCATTATAAATAAAAAGAAAACCCTCGTAACTTCTCAGTCCCATAACAATTTAATTATTCATTTTCCATGTCTTCTATACATAAATATTTTACACTTGTAATCAGAAGAGATGCAATATTATACTCTGCTTTTCTCACATCAGTCTAGACGCTTTTCTTTATTGCTCTGTAATCTTAATTATTTTAGTGGCTTCATAATGTTACATATACATAGATGTACCTTGTCTTAAATGCCTTTGTTGGACACTCAGGCTGTTTTAAAAATTCTCCACTCTTGAATAATGCTGGAATGAACATCTTTAAGAAAATAGTATTGTGCATCTTTGGGGGCAATTTCCATAGGAAATGAACAAGTTAAAAAAAAATTCTGTGCATTTTTATAATTTAAAAGCATATCAAATCTTCAAAAGACCTTGCCAGCTTACATTGCCTGTAGCCATGTATGACTAACTGTACCACTTTCATTTCAGTCTCATCTGAAATTGGTGTTATCATCATTTTCCATTTTTCATGGTTTTAAAGCAAACGTGAAATGTGACCTTATTTTCATTTCACATAATTCCTTGATCATAATGTTTTATTTTAGATCTCCTCTCATTAGTGAATTTATATTCATGTTAGGAGGTAAATAGAGTCACAGTGGGAAGAAATGAATTATTCGTACCCACTGTCTGCCATTTGACTAGGGATTTTATACCGTGTTTCCCCAAAAATAAGACCTAACTGGAAAATCAGCCCTAGCATGGTTTTCCAGGATGCTCGTAATACAAACCGTACCCCAAATATAAGCCCCAGTTAAGATCGTCAGCCAGACATGACTGTTTGAATAAGTGTAGATTTTTGTACATGAATAAATGAATACATGTAGATTGTTGGAGCAAAAATTAATATAAGACCCGGTCTTGTTTTCAGGGAAACACGGTACTTGCGACTTTTTTATCTTTACGATACCCTGTGATTATCTCACAGATGAGTCAGCTGAGATTTTGTGTGGTTAAAGGAGCTCTCTGGAGTCACAAGCCGCCGAGCAGGGCAAGGGGCCAAATTAAAACTCAGAGCTGTGTCCGCTTAGGAACTGACCGATAATGTTAGAACATTGATTTATAGACATCAAAGCGTTGATGCTTAACTTCACACTAAGCCAGCAGCTAAGACTGATCTCTGGACAATTCAAATAGAGCATCAGGCCCAGAACTCAGAGATGCAGACAGTGAGTCTGGGAATCTGGGGCGCTGGGGGGAGGGTAAGAAATCTACATTTTTTAACTAACAGCCCACGTGAGCTCATGATCAGGCAAGACTGACGTGAACCACACTCCAGAATTTCCCACAGTGGAGCTCAGGGCGGGTCTGTCTTACCCGCCCCCTTTGCATATCCGTACCAATCAGCCATGCAGGCCTCCTCAGTGACATTTAGAAAGTCAGCCAGCCACAAGGATGTCACGGCTGTTGTCCTTTGGATCTATGTCCCAGATCCTGTATTAAGAGAAGCTCTCTTATAAGGGTCTTTAGTTCATTAAATGGAAGCTTCTAGAATGAGGCCTATAGTTTATCATGTTTCTTAGATACACTCCTACGTCTTAATTCTTATATACATGTTAAAATTGTTTTTCGTCCTTGCTGTTGAAAAACACTGTGTCTGCTCCCCCCGACAAGGCAGGTTTCTGAAGCGTACCCTCCTTTGAGCTCCCGTGGAATTATGTTCACGCTGTGGGTGGAGCGCCTAAGATAAGGATTAATTTGGATTAATAGGATAATTACCGTGTGTCAAATGAATGGCAAATGCTGTGAGGAACTGCTCTGCGAGGGAGCTCTTGGTTTGACATAGGATTGTTTGCAGGCGTGCGGCCTAAATTCCGAATTTCACAAGTATTTCCCAGGCTTCTGATGAAATTTGTACGTAGCCATACCGTGCCACCTTTGAAAGTCAAGTCTGAACTCTCCAGTGACATCTATCTTTCCTCAGGCTTTGCAAAGGTGGCTGGATTGTCACCTCGACCTAGTTGAGAACCCCAAGTGCAGCTTCCGGGAAATGAAGAGGCAGTGTCTGAGCTGCAGGTGGCAGGAAGCTGACACCTGCATCCAGAGCTGACACCTGCGGTCCCCAGGGCATCTGTCTCGCTCTGTTGTGAATATTTGTTTCCATGTTTCTCATTCCTCCTAAACTGTGAGCTCCGTCAACTGCAGGGCTGTGATTAACCCTTTGATAAGAATGACAAAACATCTTCCATCACTCAAACAGTTTTTAAGGCATTATGATGCCACAGGTATTGTGCGAATATCTGTTAGACACATTGCAGAAAAGAAAAAATGACAGAAGAATGTAAAGGAAGTTGTGAAAGAGTTAAGGAGTAGTAAAAGGCAGAGCTGAGATTCTAATTCTGGGCTGCCAACCCCAAAGCCCGACGGTGTGAGCCCTGTTTCGCATCAATCACCACAACCTACCCCACAGTGGGTCCCCAGTAGAGTAGGTGCTGAGCACACCGCACGAAGGCAGGGCTAACGTTCCTGCAGAGTCTGCCCCCCGCTGGGTGTTGTGCTCAGCTCCTCACAGATATTACCAGCTCCCAGAATCCAACTGCCACACTTTTGCATGGGGCGTGGCTGTGGGGACAGTGGCCACCCCTGAGGATGGGTGAAAAGTAGACAGGCGCTGGCCCACATGGCACTGGCTGACATTTCATGACAACGCAAGGCTCTGGCCACATGAATTACTCATTGCTTTTTCTCTCTCGTTCCTGACTTCCCGACTTGATTGCATGAGCCCGTTTCCCATGTCCCGTCTACACTCCGCCCCTTACCCATCTGTCTATTACTTGAATCTCCTCAGGACATGTGACATATACAAGGGGCATCTACCCTGTGCTTTGTACTAAATATGATCCTCGTTCACAGCCCCAGATGGTGGTTCCGTGTCTACCATGCACCCCTCGGGGTTCTTTCCCAGGCACTGGACATGGGGGAGCAGTGTGGGGTCACAGCCTCCTCTCACCTCTTACTATTGTACGACCTTGGGGAAGTTGCTTAACACGTCTGTGCTTCAGCCCTCTCATCAAGGGAGGGAGAGTTAAACACATGTAATGAGCTTAAAACAGCCCTCTGCTCATAGGAAGAGCCCCACCCACCGGTGTCAGCCTTCCCATCCACCTGTTCGCATGTTCTTCTCTTAATGGACCTCTGTTTGGGCTGCCCCCCTGAAGACTCGCATTCCTCTCTGCGTCCCTGGCTTTTTCCTCAGGGTTGTCTTCTGTTGACTTTATTTTCTCTCCCTCATGTTTCTTGTTGGTTATACATGAGCCCACACGGGGATGTATTTATGGGGATGTGTCATCAGATCAGTGGGAAAATGCGTTTCAGTTCATTTCATGGCTTTTTTTTTTTAAACAAAATTGACTGATTTGGAGACTGAATGAATAGAACCCATGACACGTAGGCACCGTCTCCTAAGAAATGATAGTGTCACCCAAGTGACTTCATTTATACGCATGTGTGTGTGTGTGCATGTGTGTTGCAAGGCTGATGTCTGCCCACACCGCTAGTAGAGGCCGGGTCTGCTGTGTCCTTAATGAATCTTGGTGAGAATGACATTCAACTGCTCGAAGCCTCAGCTGTCCTATAGGGACAACAGGGGTAGTGGGTCTCCCTTCATAATGGTGTTCGGGCGAATCCTTTTGTTGATATTAAAGGTCTAATGGAATTGAGTGAAATACTGAGAGGTTTTACCATCTGTTTATTCCCTCCCTTTTTCTGTGGGTTCTAACCAGGGATCTTTAGAAACTATTACCTTTCCCCAAGAGTTCATGTCTCTCTAGACATGTGGTAATGCTTGTGCATGCGTGTGTGCGTGCGTGTATGTTCCAGATTCATTCTCTGTAACACTTGATGCCTCTCTTCTGGAAAAATCTATGTAATTTGAAATTCAGAGGATACCATGAGACATGGGACTGGTGGCGGGGGTAGGTACTCAAACACGGAAAACACCCACATTAGCGCCAAGTATTCTGCAGTCATTAGAGATTCAGGTTCAAGGTGGTGCTGCTGTACAAGGAGATAATGGAATGCTAAAGAAAAGGATGCACCACAGAAAAGGAAATAAGTCTTTATTTCTGGGCTCCTTTATTAATTATGGAACAGTTGGATCATTTAGACAATAGGAAAGTGTCGAACAGGGAAAAGGCTGGAGAAGATACTGTAATATTGGGTAACGCTTCTTGTATAAATCTTTGCGAAATAATTTTCTTTCTGAGAAAGAGATCCCGTGGATTGTTCTCCTGAGGCTAAAAACACTCCTAAAATCTCGCCATCTAGACCAATTCTTGATCCTCTGGGCCGTCATGTGAGGTAACACAGCATCTCAGTCAATGACAGGCCACATATATGACAGGCATCTCCTAAGACTATAACGGAGCTGAAAAATTCCTATTGTCTAGTGATGTTGTAGGCCTTACAGCATCATAAGGCAACGCTTTACTCATGCTTTTGGAGATGCTGGCGTAAACAAACATACTGCATTGCCAGTCGTCTGAAAGTGTAGCATATAGTTAACGTACAGTTCAGCACATAATAATGATAACAAACAACTGTTACTGCCTTATGTTTTTATAATGCTATACAGTTTATCATTCTTTTCAAGTGTATTCTTTCTACTTACATTTAAAAGAAAGCTCGCTGTAAAGCAGTGTGCAGTGTTACCGACAGCAGCCTCATACATCTCGTGTTTACTCAGGCTCTTGATTGCATCATTTTCTCTTGAGCTTGATTTAATCTCATGTTGTTTGGTATCATGCTGTACAGGCTTGCAGCCCAGGAGTGACAAGCTACACCACCTCGCCCAGGTGTGTGGTAGGCTGTACCATCTAGGTGTGTGCGTCTGCACTCTATGATGTTCTCACAGTGATGACATCACCTAAGGCCGCGTTTTTAGAATGTGTCCCCATCGTTAAGTAGCTCATGGCTGTTTTACTTACAGGGCTGTGGCTTCAGGGATGGTAGTGAAATGAGATGATGTGTGGGTTCATCTAAGCATCTCGGTATCTAGTCAACCCGCCTGTAGCAACAATTCTTCAAGGTCCAGTTGTGGCTCCACCTGTCACCTGACAGGGGAGTTTTCCTTACCAAATATCTGCTCTGAGTCTGTGATTCCTGGGACATGGATGGAATAAATAAGGAGAAAACAGGGTGGCAGAGACAGAGAAAGATAAGATTAAAAGAAAAAAAATGCATGGAGGACACTGATATTTATTTACTGCTTAATATGTAAAAGACATCCTTGCCAGGCACTTTTTTTCCCCTTTTTAAAATTAGTTCAGGTGTACAAAACATAATGATTAGACATTTACACCTCTCACAGCAATAACCCCCCCCCAAGTCTACTACCCCTCTGACCTCGTACATAGTTATTACAATCCTATTGACTGTATTCCCTATGCTGTGCTTTATATCCT